TGAAGCTGTCCGGGCGCTTGGCCAGCCTGTCTGCTGGGAACAGCCCAGAGAAGGCAGGCAGTTGTGCGGCCGGGCAGTGCCCCTGCAGGAGGGAGGGGAACGTGGGTTTCCAAGGGGGCCCTGGCTAGGGGGCTGGGGCCCGAGCGTGCCGGCCTTGCTGGCCCCCTGAGGGGAATTACAGGCGCAGGGGCCCTGGCGTGTGGCACAGTCACCAAGAGCCCAATCCGCTCCCCTGCAGCAATGTCAGCCCCTGAACCCTGCAGCTGCACCCACCCAGCCGGCCTGGAGTAACCAGCACGCGCACGTCCCGGCTTGGCCTCCCTCTGCCTGGTCTCCCTGCGGTGCCTCGCGGCCTGGCCTGGGAGCACATCTGGGCAGGGCCGGCGCTGCGGGGGCTGCTCCCATTCCGGACCCCATGGAGCAGGCTGCCCTCCAGGGTCACCCCGCTGCATGGGGCCCTTTTCCTCCCGCCGGGACAGCACCGCAGGGCCACTGGCTGCGATGGGGAGGAGCACACCGGCCTGCCAGGACCCAGCATCACCAGCCTGGCCCAGAGCCCCCGGCAGCACAGCCCGGGACAGTGAGAGCTGGGGCAACGCGCCACTGCATGAGCGCCTCCCCGTCCAGCCAGGCCCAGGACCCAGTGGCTGGGTCTCGGCTTAGCGCTTGGCTCTCCAGCTGCCCCCCAGCAGTACGGGGGCTGCCCGCTGCCTGCCCCCAGGCTCCCCGCTGGAGCCAGGCCTCACCGAGGCAGCGTGACTCAGTGTCACCCGACGCCGCTGACAGCTGCAGCCTCGGCCCGGGATAAAATTGGCTCTGGGATTCCACGGGGCCCACGTGCTGCTAAAATTAGCGCCCGCGCTCACCGCTGGGGCTGGGGCCGCGGCCGGAGCGGGCAGTGAGTGCAGACGGGCAGGGGAGCGGCTCTGGGGCAGACGGACGCAGGGAGAAAGAGGCCCAGACGGGGCGAGTGCAGGCCAGGGCCAGGCAGCCCAAGGGGAGGCCAGGGCAGAGCGTGGGAGTAGGCGTAGGGGCACAGGGCAGGGCCGCGGGGATGAACTTTGCGGTGGGATTCAAGCCCATGCTGGGGGATTCGCACAGCATGGACAGCCTGGAGAAGCAGCTGATCTGCCCCATCTGCCTGGAGATGTTCAGCAAGCCCGTGGTCATCCTGCCCTGCCAGCACAACCTGTGCCGCAAGTGTGCCAACGACATCTTCCAGGTGTGTGTGTGCGGGGGGAAGGGGGGCTGGAGAGACGGGCTACGGGGATGGCTGGCATTGGGGCTGGGGGCTGCATGGGGGGCTGGGAGCGGCACTGGGGGATGGGGATGGGGCTGCGTGGGGGGCCAGGCCCCCCGACACTCTCATCCACCCCGCAGAGCCTGGTCGGAGTCAGCGTCACATGGCCGGACCTGCAGTGGCCCCCAGCCTTGTCTCATCTCCATGCAGCCACCCCTCACGGCTGGGGAGGGGGGCTCTGTGGTTTTCCCCAGCCCCGGCGCTCCCTGTGGCCTGCTCACAAGCCTGCGCGTCCCCTCTCCATCTCCAATAGTAACTGGCCTCTGCCCTGGGCTCCTGCCAAGTGCCCGTCTGGGGCTCCCCAGGGCACCCTGGGGACCCCGCCTCTGCAGCCCCTTCCAGAGACATTGGCACAGCTGGTCTATTGGTGTGGGGCAGCCTCCATGGCCGTGAGTGCCCAGCGCGACCAGCAGGGTGGGGGGCGGGAGGGGGCCTCTTGGGCATGGCAGGGTGGGCGCCAGGGGTCCCTGGGTCCTGCTTGGTGCCTGCTGCTTCTGCTCAAGTTGTGGGGGGCCCCTGCTTTGGGTGATTAGTGCAGCCTCCGGACTGGAGGGGTAAGTTAGGGGGCTGGGGTTGGGGTGCTCCTCAGCTCCGGCCGGGGGGAGGTGGGAAGATCGGCCCAGGAATGGGCAGGTGGATCAGAATCAGGGTCCATCTAGCCCCACGTCCCCTCCCTGGTTGGACCAGCACCCAGCCTGCAGGGTCACTGCTCCAGTGAGGGGCCCAGGGGCCCGTGGGCTCGGTTCTGGTCCATGGGGTGCGCTGCCCTCTGGTCCGACGGCTGGCCCTGGACATTGGCCCCAGCCCCTGCGATCGGCGTCTGAGCCCCCGACGTGCTCCCACGTTCTCCACGCGCTGCCAAGGCTGGGGGCTCCCTGGGCGGCCAGTTTGCCCCTCCGGGGTCACCGTGGCCGGGAGGCAGGGAACCGCCTCAGCTGCGGGTTTTTTGAGCTGCCCGCACAGCCCTCAAGAGTCACAGCTGCCGGCTCCCCCTGCGGCTGCGGCTCGGACGCGTGTCTGGTGAGCCTGCGCTCACAACGTGCCCCGTCCCCATGCCATGTGCCCCCCGTGGCCAGAGCCCGCTGTCCCATGGGGGTAGTGCGAGTCAGCCGACCACCCTGTCAGCGAGACTCTCCCCCACGGGCACTGGCTGCCCTGAGCAGCCCCCACTCCTGGGCCGAGGCCTGTTGCATTGATCTCAAGGTGTTTATTGACTCTGTCACTGTCCCACCTTAGAACAGCGACTCTCGGGTTTCGGGGGTTTCCAGAGCCCGTGGCTGGCTCAGTGTCACCGACTCACAGATCGTGCCCACTCGTGGCCCCGTGCGGTCCGTGGGGGGTGCCTCTTCCAGTGCGCCAGCCCTTCTCGGGGGTCCACTCTCTCCCAGGGTCAGGCCCTCCACCTCCTGGAGCTGCACCTCTCTGAGCCTTAGCACGTCTGTCTCTGCCGTGGGCCCCCTCAGGGAGTCCCCTCGCTCTGGGACCCCGGGGCCTCCATCCCCGAAGGGGTCGATGCAACCCTGTTCTCTAGCCCGGAGTGACTCTCAGCCAGCATAAAACAGGAGGGTTTATTGAGAGTTGAACACAGCACAGGAAACTCTCAGGGCCTCAGGCCTGGCCTCCCTCAGCCCAGCACATCCCAGTCTCTCTGCATCCAGGTGGGCTCTGCCTGCTCCCCCTCTCCAGCCCAGAGCCCCCCCCGCTCCCAGCTGGGCATCTGAGATCACTGCCCCAAGCCCTGCCTCTGTCCATTGTCTTCTCTCCAGGGAAACAGGGTCTCCTCTCCCCTCTTCTGTCCTCTGGCCCCTCTGGCTGGAACCGGCTGGTCAGGTCACTGGGGTCCTCTCTTCGCAGCCCATGGTCCTCCCACTGGCCAGAACCGGCTGCGACTCCTGAGCTGGGCCTCTGGGTCACCAGTCGCTGGGGTCTCCATCCTCCAGGCCATCGGCTGGGGTCCCAAGGTCCCTCTCCGGTCCTATGTAACAACAAACTCCCTCTCCCCTCCCCTCGTTAAACCAGCAACACCCAGGGAAACTGAGTCCCACCCCCTCCGCATGCAAACCATTGGAAAAACAAGGAAAAACCAAGAACCCCCCTAACTTCATCACACTCGGGTCCTTGGCAAACACCCTCCCGCCCCGCTCCCCTCCCCATTCTTTCTGAGCCCGGCAGGTTCCTGCTCAATCAGGAACGAACCAGAAATTCAAACAAGCATTTGCACAGAAACGAAACTGAGCGATTGTGCAGCACAAACGTAGGCAAAAGACTCTCTGCTTTGGCAGTAAAATACCTGCGTCTCCTTTTCATCGCTGAGCGGCCTTGGGGGACGGAAAGGGCTCCCTGGCCACAGACCTGCTGTGTGAAGAGGGGTCACCAGCCGGACACAAGGGGGAGGAGAGTGGAGAGGGAAGCTGGGGAAATGCAACTTTGGAGCACGGGGCAGCTGGTTGGCCACGGACGGGGCTTTGGCTGGCAGGGCGCCCCTGGCCCCTGGTTCACACTCCGGGCTGGGACGTCACATGGCTGGGCCTTGTCTCCTCCGGCCGGCCGGGCTGTGGCCGTCTCGTCTCGCGGGGCCGATGCAGGGCAGGTTATTCAGGCGTTGATGGAAAGTTGGGCGCGCGAGACAGGCAAGGAGCAGGTCGCAGGGGCTGGCAGTGAGTTTCCCAACTGTGGGCTCAGGCCTGGCCGTCGGGACAGACCAGGCCCACCCGGACTCCCAGGGGAAGAGTCTTTCAGTCTGGGCTGCTCGTTTGTCTGGGGCTTGGGGAGAGGAGCCCAGTGAGATGCACTGGGGTGCAGGGAGTGACGAGCGGGCGGCCTGGTTCAGCTGTGGGCGGGGCTGGTGTGGGGGGGGCTGGTGTGGTTCTGGCGGGGCTATGGGCGGGG